ATAGATATTAGAGTCCAGCGCAAGTGTATTTGCCGCATTTCGTTCAATAAGTACTCCTTGCATTGTACTCTACTCCCAACACATTGTTACTCTTTTTCCGCATACATACACTACTTGGCGTTGAGAGAGTAAATACTTGACGCACTTGCTATTACTCCACCAAAGTACGTACTCTACTTTCCCTCATCGCGTACGAGAGATATTTGCTGCTGCCAAAAGGGAGTGGCAAATCTACTCTCTGTATACTTGTAGTACGGTAAGTACTTGCGTATTAAATTTAAATTCTGGTTGTTAGCCTACTAGTTGATATCGTTTGCAGCGCTGGTCAGTGAAATTGAAAGAGTAAAAATAGAATATGGAAATCGAAGATGTAAGGAAATGTTTACGGCCTTATTTATAAAAAATAACGTAGATTTAGACAGTTGTTTAATGTGACGTTTTCATAAAACTTTTGTATTCAAGCAGCTTTTTAAATCTATGTATGTACTTAAATTTTTATGAAAGTATTATTTCTCGTCTCTAATTTTCTATAAAACTATTTGCAGTCATTAACCAACAAATAAGTTGCCAAAAACAATAACTTAAGCAATGCTGCTATACGAAATAAAATTATTAGTGGCAAATCAAAGTTTTGAAAAGTGCCGATTTTCACATTCGATAGTTGGACATGGTAGCGACGAGATGTACGAGCATTTTTTTCTTAAGAGCTGCATACTGATTTAAGAAATTTTTTATAGAAGAAAATTTATTTTCCATTTATTGTGCGTAATTTTATATGAATTTTTAGTTTTTCTTGAGAGCTTTTATAAATAAAAAAAATTTCGGAATATGTACATATGTACATATGTACATACATACGCAGCCATATAACTTGATTTCAAGAAAAACGAATTTTCATTTGGCACGTTCAGAAGGCGAAACAGCTCAGTAACTGGTGCGATTGCACCTTCTGAACGCGTTGTTGCGTACTTCTGATCAGCTGAATAGTTGCGTGTTAGATGATCGTAATATTTTTCTGATCATTTGAGACAACATGTTGGTGTGTACCTTTGAGAGTTGAATTTGACAGCTAATGTATGAAGTCGTTCAAAAGACGCATAACGATCACTGATTTTTGTTTAGCAACGGTTGCGCTCAACTGCTGCGCCTTCTGAACCTACCTATTGATAACTTTTTTTTTTTGATAACACTGCGACAGCTCAAATTGGTATTGAGTAAACCCAAATGCAAGATAGAGTTTTTGAATTTCATTGAGTTTTTTTAATAAATACTGAAATTAGAGGTGTATGAATGGCGAAAGAAAAACTTCATCAGATTTTTTTTAAATCGAAACTATATTTTAACATATGTACATATGTCCATGCATACATAAATATATTTAATACTAGCCAATGCCCGCTTACTTCGCGGCGCCTAATAAGAGCTTTTGCGTTAGCCAATGCAAAAGAGCGTTTAAAAACAAAATTAGTCTGTAAAGTCAAAGTTTTTGATTTAAGTTGAAACCACTAAGGCGCAGTATCCTCCTCACACATAGGCAAATAGTAGTAACGCTGTGATACCATATGGAATACCAATCCCTTTTGGTGTCATGAGCTTTACTGATGGTCTTATTTTCACCTGTGAGATCTCTGCCAATCATGCGTAATCTTTTTGTATGATCTTACGTATGCCAATAAAAGTTCTTATAGGGAAACTCAAGAGCACAGAAGTGCATTTTCTTTATAGGAAGGCCAAGAATCCTCGCTGTCCCATAGGATGAAAAGTTTTCCGGTACATTGCTAAATGAGTAGTGTGATCTCTTAAGTATCTTTCAAATGAAGCAGTTGATATACCTACGGTGATCTTTCCTTGTTAATTCACCACTTTTACAATTCGTGGTAAAATGTATGAACTGATTTCAGGGTAGATGCCAGACCGCATGATCGTGCATGAGGGCGTCAGAAAAACTTAACCCCATGCTTCATTTAAACATTTGAAAACTAAATTCGTATAACTTAAACATAGGTCCAAAGCAGACCAACCACACGGGGTTTCTATACATTTCGGCTGCAGCGCCATCCATTGGGCTTATTTTCTGCAAAACCATTGCTTACCATAAAATGAATACGTGTTATGAATTTCTACCTTAACTCCAGCGGCACTAATCGGGTAAATTTGTATCAAAAGAATTTTCTATCATACAGGTACATAGCTCACATTTTAAATTTGAACGAAATCGGTTAATAAATACGATTTTTATAAATAACTCTACTCCAGCACCACCTAGCGAGTTTTATAGTAGCATGTAATTGGACCATATATGTATGTAAGATAACCTCCGACAATCTGACGGAACTCTATTCAGTGTTTTTTGAGTTTATTCCGAACAACGAAAACGGCTATCATTTTATGCAAATAGGTATGTAGATAGGACAGTTTATAGCGAAACTCGTAAAAGCAAAGCTCCATTCTTTGTGAAAAACTTAAAAAAATTCTTCAAAATTTTCACAAAAATTTTACCTTACTGAAAATTAAAGACAAAGCTAGAATAGTTCAATGGGATTTATAAATCTAGGAGAAAATGGTTCCCAATCGAGTGATACTTGCGCGTTTACGTAAATGTATATCGATCCAGCCTTTCCAATAATTATCACTTTTCGCCATAACTACGGTATTGATAACATATGTAGCTCTGTAGAATTTCAGGACGTTAGCGTAAGCAGTTCCAGACATAAGCTATATGAGCAGTTCAGTTTGCATGGAAGGAAGGAGCCACGCCCCCTTTCCCAATGCATTTGCAATATATGCATCAGTGCTAAGTTTCAGTTCCCCAGCGTAATTGGTTTTAGTGATATATTGGTTTTTTACGTTTTAGTCTGTATAAGAATTTTAGGAATATCCCGAGCTAAATACCGAGTAAATTTTTGGTCAGAATATTTATTTTCAACGTGTTGCCAAATATGAACCAAGTCGATGCAGCCGTTTAGTAGTTTAGTGAAATGCATTGTAAAGAGAACTGTATGAAATTGTAAAACGTGACGTCTCAGATTTCTTAATTTTTTTGGCAGCAACAACGAAAAGTTAAAATTTTTTTTAGCGAAAACCCTTCCAAACAGAAATAAAAAAAAATTAAGTTTGTGGTTATATCAAGGCGAAATTTTGAGAACGGTGCGTTGCTAACTCTAAATATAAACAACGACGCACTGGAAAAAGTTAATACGTTCAAATACCTAGGAATAATGATCGACGATAAACTAAAACAAAAAAAAAAATGGATTCTATATTTTCAATTAGAGCTCTAGCAAAACTGCATTTAATTCCATACATTAGCTTTTGCGTGATGCGCTTGCAAACATACAGACAAACATACCGAAATTTTAGATTTGGCTTCTGTTGATCTAATAAACCCCCTATTAATTTTTCTTTAACATCTATTATGTACAGATATCGGCCTGTTGCAATTTTATTATTCTCAAGTACTCTCGTTTGATACCCATATGGCAACACTTAGTTTATATAGTAAATTTAACTGAATTAAAGTTTTCAAATAAGTGGCAACCCGCTTCAAGAATATTATAGCAAATAATAAGTTATTGGTTGGAGTTTGATCACCAATTGGTTTACTTTATTGATTTCACTTTCTT